GCACCACACAGGTGTACCACACAGGTGTATCACACACAGCTGCACCACACAGGTGTACTACACACAGCTGTACCACACAGGTGTACCACACACAGCTGCACCACACAGGTGTACCACACACAGCTGCACCACACAGGTGTACCACACACAGCTGCACCACACAGGTGTACCACACAGGTGTACCACACAGGTGTACCACACAGGTGTACCACACACAGCTGCACCACACAGGTGTACCACACACAGCTGTACCACACAGGTGTACCACACACAGCTGCACCACAAAGGTGTACCACACACAGCTGTACCACACAGGTGTACCACACAGGTGTATCACACAGCTGCACCACACAGGTGTACCACACACAGCTGTACCACACAGGTGTACCACACACAGCTGCACCACACAGGTGTACCACACACAGCTGTACCACACAGGTGTACCACACACAGCTGCACCACACAGGTGTACCACACACAGCTGTACCACACAGGTGTACCACACACATCTGCACCACACAGGTGTACCACACACAGCTGTACCACACAGGTGTACCACACACAGCTGCACCACACAGGTGTACCACACACAGCTGTACCACACAGGTGTACCACACACAGCTGCACCACACAGGTGTACCACACACAGCTGCACCACACAGGTGTACCACACAGCTGCACCACACAGGTGTACCACACACAGCTGCACCACACAGGTGTACCACACACAGCTGCACCACACAGGTGTACCACACATAGCTGAACCACACAGGTGTACCACACACAGCTGCACCACACAGGTGTACCACACATAGCTGCACCACACAGGTGTACCACACAGGTGTACCACACACAGCTGCACCACACAGGTGTACCACACACAGCTGCACCACACAGGTGTACCACACATAGCTGCACCACACAGGTGTGCCACACAGGTGTACCACACACAGCTGCACCACACAGGTGTACCACACACAGCTGCAGCACACAGGTGTACCACACATAGCTGCACCACACAGGTGTACCACACATAGCTGCACCACACAGGTGTACCACACATAGCTGCACCACACAGGTGTACCACACACAGCTGCACCACACAGGTGTACCACACATAGCTGCACCACACAGGTGTACCACACATAGCTGCACCACACAGGTGTACCACACACAGCTGCAGCACACAGGTGTACCACACACAGCTGCACCACAGGTGTACCACACACAGCTGCACCACACAGGTGTACCACACACAGCTGCACCACACAGGTGTACCACACACAGCTGCAGCACACAGGTGTACCACACACAGCTGCACCACAGGTGTACCACACACAGCTGCACCACACAGGTGTACCACACACAGCTGCACCACACACGTGTACCACACACAGCTGCACCACACAGGTGTACCACACACAGCTGCAGCACACAGGTGTACACCACACAGCTGCACCACACAGGTGTACCACACAGCTGCACCACACAGGTGTACCACACACAGCTGCACCACACAGGTGTACCACACACAGCTGCACCACACAGGTGTACCACACACAGCTGCACCACACAGGTGTACCACACAAAGCTGCACCACACAGGTGTACCACACACAGCTGCACCACACAGGTGTACCACACACAGCTACACCACACAGGTGTACCACACACAGCTGCACCACACAGCTGCACCACACAGGTGTACCACACACAGCTGCACCACACAGGTGTACCACACACAGCTGCACCACACAGCTGCACCACACAGGTGTACCACACACAGCTGCACCACACAGCTGCACCACACAGCTGCACCACACAGCTGCACCACACAGGTGTACCACACACAGCTGCACCACACAGCTGCACCACATAGGTCACAAGGGATCCTCTACTAGATAACTTCACCAAGAGAGGTTAGCGAGTTCAAAGCAGAACTGCAACTCTGACCTTGTTACAGCGACTAACTGACCACACCAGTAACCAGTGACAACTCTAGCTCTTGTCCCTTTTAAGTCACTTTTTAATGTCCTTTTACAAAAACTAACCTAACGTAATGTAACGCAACAGCTAATGAAGAAAATAATAGTTGAAAATATACGGAAAGTTTTTGAAAGTTAGCGTTGTTAAATAATTTGTATTGTAACCCTGATAACCCTGAACCCCTGACAACCCTGTACCCCTGACAACCTTGTACCCCTGACAACCCTGAACCCCTGACAACCCTGTACCCCTGACAACCTTGTACCCCTGACAACCCTGAACCCCTGACAACCCTGTACCCCTGACAGCCTTGTACCCCTGACAACCCTGAACCCCTGACAACCCTGTACCCCTGACAGCCTTGTACCCCTGACAACCCTGAACCCCTGACAACCCTGTACTCCTGACAACCCTGTACCCCTGACAACCCTGAACCCCTGACAACCCTGTATCCCTGACAACCCTGAACCCTTGACAACCCTGAACCTCTGATAACCCTGTACCCCTGACAGCCTTGTACCCCTGACAACCCTGAACCCCTGACAACCCTGTACCCCTGACAACCCTGAACCCTTGACAACCCTGAACCTCTGATAACCCTGTACCCCTGACAGCCTTGTACCCCTGACAACCCTGAACCCCTGACAACCCTGAACCCCTGACAGCCTTGTAACCCTGACAACCCTGAACCCCTGACAGCCTTGTACCCCTGACAACCCTGAACCCCTGACAGCCTTGTACCCCTGACAACCCTGTACCCCTGACAGCCTTGTACCCCTGACAACCCTGAACCCCTGACAGCCTTGTACCCCTGACAACCCTGTACCCCTGACAGCCTTGTACCCCTGACAACCCTGTACCCCTGACAGCCTTGTACCCCGGACAACCCTGAACCCCTGACAGCCTTGTACCCCTGACAACCCTGTACCCCTGACAGCCTTGTACCCCTGACAACCCTGTACCCCTGACAGCCTTGTACCCCTGACAACCCTGTACCCCTGACAGCCTTGTACCCCTGACAACCCTGTACCCCTGACAGCCTTGTACCCCTGACAACCCTGTACCCCTGACAGCCTTGTACCCCTGACAACCCTGAACCCCTGACAGCCTTGTACCCCTGACAACCCTGAACCCCTCACAGCCTTGTACCCCTGATAACCCTGTACCCCTGACAGCCTTGTACCCCTGACAACCCTGAACCCCTGACAGCCTTGTACCCCTGACAACCCTGAACCCCTGACAACCCTGTACCCCTGACAGCCTTGTACCCCTGACAACCCTGAACTCCTGACAACCCTGTACCCCTGACAGCCTTGTACCCCTGACAACCCTGAACCCCTGACAACCCTGTACCCCTGACAGCCTTGTAACCCAGATAACCCTGAACCCCTGACAACCCTGTACCCCTGACAGCCTAGTACCCCTGACAACCCTGAACCCCTGACAGCCTTGTACCCCTGATAACCCTGTACCCCTGACAGCCTTGTACCCCTGACAACCCTGAACCCCTGACAGCCTTGTACCCCTGACAACCCTGAACCCCTGACAACCCTGTACCCCTGACAGCCTTGTACCCCTGACAACCCTGAACCCCTGACAACCCTGTACCCCTGACAGCCTTGTACCCCTGACAACCCTGAACCCCTGACAACCCTGTACCCCTGACAGCCTTGTAACCCAGATAACCCTGAACCCCTGACAACCCTGTACCCCTGACAGCCTTGTACCCCTGACAACCCTGAACCCCTGACAGCCTTGTACCCCTGATAACCCTGTACCCCTGACAGCCTTGTACCCCTGACAACCCTGAACCCCTGACAGCCTTGTACCCCTGACAACCCTGAACCCCTGACAACCCTGTACCCCTGACAGCCTTGTACCCCTGACAACCCTGAACCCCTGACAACCCTGTACCCCTGACAGCCTTGTACCCCTGACAACCCTGAACCCCTGACAACCCTGTACCCCTGACAGCCTTGTAACCCAGATAACCCTGAACCCCTGACAACCCTGTACCCCTGACAGCCTTGTACCCCTGACAACCCTGAACCCTTGACAACCCTGTACCCCTGACAGCCTTGTACTCCTGACAACCCTGAACCCCTGACAACCCTGTACCCCTGACAGCCTTGTAACCCTGATAACCCTGAACCCCTGACAACCCTGTACCCCTGACAGCCTTGTACCCCTGACAACCCTGAACCCCTGACAACCCTGTAACCCTGACAGCCTTGTAACCCTGATAACCCTGAACCCCTGACAACCCTGTACTCCTGACAGCCTTGTACCCCTGACAACCCTGAACCCCTGACAACCCTGTACCCCTGACAGCCTTGTACCCCTGACAACCCTGAACCCCTGACAACCCTGTACCCCTGATAACCCTGAACCCGTGACAACCCTGTACCCCTGACAACCCTGTACCCCTGACAACCCTGAACCCCTGACAGCCTTGTACCCCTGACAACCTGTACCTCTGACAACCCTGAACCCCTGACAACCCTGTACCCCTGACAACCCTGTACCCCTGACAACCCTGTACCCCTGACAACCCTGAACCCCTGACAACCCTGAACCCCTGACAACCCTGTACCCCTGACAACCCTGAATCCCTGACAACCCTGTACTTCTGACAGCCCTGAATCCCTGACAACCCTGAACCCCTGACAACCCTGTACCCCTGACACCCCTGTACCCCTGACAACCCTGAATCCCTGACAACCCTGTACTCCTGACAGCCCTGAACCCCTGACAACCCTGAACCCCTGACAGCCCTGAACCCCTAACAACCCTGTGCCCCTTGAGGGTGTTATACCTGGAGGGTGTTATACCTGGAGGGTGTTATACCTGGAGGGTGTTATACCTGGAGGGTGTTATACCTGGAGGGTGTTATACCTGGAGGGTGTTCCGAGGGACAGTGCTCCCGAGACCCGGTCCACAACCAGTGAAGTTAGAACTCAGTTAGGCTGAAGTTAATTTCCACTGAATTACTACATCGGAGATAGACCTTTACAGACGCCTGGACGAACTGATGGCGGAGGTACCAAGAATCAAGATATTGGGAGAGGAAGAAGGTGCTCCTTCCCTCGAGTCTAAGATCCTGGAACTCGACAAGAAACTCAAGGCTTTGCAGGTGAGTGAAGGGCTGTCAGGTGGCTCTCCCCCGCAAATTCTTAGTGTCATATGTGATACATAAGACTGATGGACTGATTACATCGACTCCAGGCTAAGGGACTGATTACCTCAAACTCCTTCTGACCTTCACCATTCTTATTGTATAGGACTGATGAAGCCACTGTGTGGCGAAAAGTGTCCACAATAGAAACAGCCAAGTGTTACACATGTGTCTAATTTGTCAACTTGTCGGTTCTCTGAACCATTTATCTATAAAGAAAGATTTACTCGTATGTAAAAAAGACAAAACAGGTGTGTTTGTGACTTGATTAATTAAAGAGTAAGACACATGTACAACAATCAAGTATCATTATTGTGAGTGAACGGTTCACCTGCTGGGTAGACTTCTTCAGTCAAATATAGAGACAGTAGGCATGGTATTGAAGTAAAGATGATGTAATTAATCCATCAACTTTGGAGAAAAAGTATTTGAGCTGGTCAGTCCCTCAGTCTGGGCTCTTCACCGACCGAAAAGTTTGCACTTCATCTGTATCTGTTCTTCAGTACTGTTGTCATTACGCTGCTGTACACAGTTACCTTCCCATCAGGAGCGGTATGACACCAAACTAAGAGAACGCGAAGTGGAGGTGCTGGAGCTGAGGGAGGCGCTGGAGGAGCAGAAGGTGGACAACAGAAGACTCCTTCAAGACCTCACTAACCGTTTGGACGCCGAGGAGACCTCTAGTGACAGACTCTTCAGCGACCTCACCAGGACCAAGCAGGTAGGGTCTTATTAGTGTTGTCAGGAGAGAAGTGTTGAACTCATGACAGTCATGCTGGAGAATGATGTGATTTAATCTGATAAAGAGAAGGGTGTTTCCGAGTCTTTAGATCAAGAACTCTTCACCAGCATGAAGACAGATGCTCTGAAAGGAAATGGACAGGGACGGATCTGCTATGAAACTAATGAAGCTTAAGCTTCAGGGCCCCTCATCCCCGAGGGACCCCAAAAGTCACTTAAAAATTTTGGGCCTACTGTATCAGAAGGGATTTTAAAAATAATAACATTAATAATAGTGTAATTCAGTACAAAATAATAGTTAAAATCAAAATTAAAAGGTTACTAAAGTATAATGTAGGTTGTTGCTGGTTGTGATAGTGACGCCATGACAGCTCAAGCTTCAGGGCCACAAAAAAGTAGGACCGTCACTGATGCTGGGTATGTGAAGGCAGAGAAGAAAGAATTGAATCATTGATTTATAGGACTGAAGCTGCTGGTGAGGGTGATTGATGGTGATAGTGGCGACTGAAGTAAATGAATGAGAGGGTGGTAGTGATTATTCAAAGATAAATAACTTATTGCTGTTGTTGTTCTGTTTGCAGACGTTGTCGCAGAGTAAGATTGAGGTGGCAGCGCTGAGGGAGAAGGTGGGTGAGACCAGGGTTGCTGACGTACTCATGTTCGTTAAGAACCTGGCTATACAGGCCAACAGAACCGTGGAAAGCCTGCATGCCGAGGTCAGACAGCTCCGGGATGACCAGGTACAGGGGCGTGTGCAAGCATAAGGGGCAGGGGGGGTCAGTGTGGTGGACTGTGGTACACCAGGTACAGGGGCCTGTGCAAGCATCAGGGGCAGGGGGGGTCAGTGTGGTGGACTGTGGTACACCAGGTACAGGGGCCTGTGCAAGCATCAGGGCAGGGGGGTCAGTGTGGTGGACTGTGGTACACCAGGTACAGGGGCCTGTGCAAGCATCAGGGGCAGGGGGGTCAGTGTGGTGGACTGTGGTACACCAGGTACAGGGGCCTGTGCAAGCATCAGGGGCAGGGGGGTCAGTGTGGTGGACTGTGGTACACCAGGTACAGGGGCCTGTGCAAGCATCAGGGGCAGGGGGGGTCAGTGTGGTGGACTGTGGTACACCAGGTACAGGGGCCTGTGCAAGCATCAGGGGCAGGGGGGGTCAGTGTGGTGGACTGTGGTACACCAGGTACAGGGGCCTGTGCAAGCATCAGGGGCAGGGGGGTCAGTGTGGTGGATGTGGTACACCAGGTACAGGGGCCTGTGCAAGCATCAGGGGCAGGGGGGTCAGTGTGGTGGACTGTGTACACCAGGTACAGGGGCCTGTGCAAGCATCAGGGGCAGGGGGGGTCAGTGTGGTGGACTGTGGTACACCAGGTACAGGGGCCTGTGCAAGCATCAGGGGCAGGGGGGTCAGTGTGGTGGACTGTGGTACACCAGGTACAGGGGCCTGTGCAAGCATCAGGGGCAGGGGGTCAGTGTGGTGGACTGTGGTACACCAGGTACAGGGGCCTGTGCAAGCATCAGGGGCAGGGGGGGTCAGTGTGGTGGACTGTGGTACACCAGGTACAGGGGCCTGTGCAAGCATCAGGGGCAGGGGGGTCAGTGTGGTGGACTGTGGTACACCAGGTACAGGGGCCTGTGCAAGCATCAGGGGCAGGGGGGGTCAGTGTGGTGGACTGTGGTACACCAGGTACAGGGGCCTGTGCAAGCATCAGGGGCAGGGGGGTCAGTGTGGTGGACTGTGGTACACCAGGTACAGGGGCCTGTGCAAGCATCAGGGGCAGGGGGGTCAGTGTGGTGGACTGTGGTACACCAGGTACAGGGGCCTGTGCAAGCATCAGGGGCAGGGGGGTCAGTGTGGTGGACTGTGGTACACCAGGTACAGGGGCCTGTGCAAGCATCAGGGGCAGGGGGGTCAGTGTGGTGGACTGTGGTACACCAGGTACAGGGGGCCTGTGCAAGCATCAGGGGCAGGGGGGTCAGTGTGGTGGACTGTGGTACACCAGGTACAGGGGCCTGTGCAAGCATCAGGGGCAGGGGACTCAGTGTGGTGGACTGTGGTATATTATTAAGGGGTTAATGCATCGTCATTATGAAACAAATTTTTCCATACTTAGAAGATGAGCAATTTTTTTGTTGAAAAGGGCTGAGTTCACTAAACTACGAAGATCCCACAACTTAGAATAAAGAAACTGAATGTGCAAGTGCGGAGTGAAGAGTGAGGAAGGAGGCGGCTGGGATATGACAGGTTGATGTCACCTGTCAGGTAGAGAGAGTCAGGTCATAACAATGTTGGTAGAATTACCGACAATATGTAAAGTAAAAGGACACAAGTGCAACTAATGTAACATTTTATTGTGGCAACGTTTCGCTCTTCAGGAGCTTTGTCAAACCGTAACGGCTTGACAAAGCTTTGTCAAGCCGTTACAGCTTAACAAAGCTCCTGAAGAGCAAAACGTTGACACAATAAAATGTTAAATTAGTTGCACTTGAGTCCTTTTACTTTACAGAGTCAGGCCACATTAACTAGGCAGAACTGCCCGATGTCAAGAAAACTTGCAAGAGGCAGAGACAACCAGATTAATTTCCCAGACCCCACTAACACAACATGGATAGCCCATACAGGTTTGACAATTTTTCGCGAATTATTATATAGTCATAGAATAACCGCAGTGTGGAGTACATTCACTCGAGTCCTTAGTACGAGTACATTGTGCCACTCAAAACACCTTAAAAAAAGGAACAGCACACCAGAGGTAAGTATCAGTTATACTTATACCTGATATAACACCCACATATTACTGTTCATCGTCACGTTAAAACTTAACATCTCTAAATCCATGAACGATGTATCAGAATTATTCAACTTTTACATGCCATATATATAAGTGTAGATGTATTGAGCCTTGTGCTTCGTGACTTTGAACCCGTCATGTTAGGTTCAGTTAAATAATTGGTAAGCCTTTCCAGATTATATATATATAATCTGAAAAAAAAAAAAAAATAATATGTATATATATATTATATATATATATATCATATATATATATTATATATTATATATATATTAATATATATATATAAATTATATAATATTATGTCGTGCGAATAGGCAGAACTTGCGATCTTGGCTTTAAATAGCAACCTCATCTTGCCATATAGGACAAGTGAAAATTTGTGTATGCAATAATTTCGCCAAAATCATTCTGAACCTAACGAAAAAAAATATATTTCACTGTGTTTTGTTTAGTATTTAAATTATTTAAAAAATCTAAAATATATTTAGTTTGGTTAGGGTAAAATAAATTGCGTCTTGTTATAATAAGGTTAGGTAAAGTTTTCTAAGTTTCTTTTGGTGCAAAATTATAACCTTTACATCAACATTAATGAAAAAAAAAATATTTTTAAAACGTATAGGAGAAAAAATTTTGAAAGGACTTAATTTTAAATGAGTTCTTGCTAATTGACCATTTTAACATATCGGCAAAAATATATTATATATATAAATATATATATAATATATATATTTAATATATATATATATATATATATATATATATATATATATAATATATTATATATATAATCCAGCTGTAATTAGGTATCTGGGTACCTAATTATGCTGAATGCCAGTACTTTGGGAAGAGAATCAAACAACTAAGTGCAATAAGCCAGTAGTGTGTGGCTTCATGGGTTATCCTGGGTTACTAACCTTCCAGGTTAATAATGACGAAAAAGAGATGTTATGAAGATCCGCTGTTGTGTGTTGTTCAGGTGATCCTGGAGGCGAGATGGACCTTCAACGCTAATCCATGGAAAGAGAATGCGTCAGTTATGACGTGATGTTTCTTCTGTTCTGCCCTGTGCTGTTTGAGTTCCTGTGCACGTCTTGTCCCTGAATGCGTCTGTGTTCCTGTGTCTGTCATTGTGTTCCTGTGTCTGTCTTGTGTTCCTGTTTCTGTCTTGTGTCCCTGTGTCTGTCTTGTGTCCTGTGTCTGTCTTGTGTTCCTGTGTCTGTCTTGTGTTCCTGTTCTGTCTTGTATTCCTGTGTCTGTCTTGTGTTCCTGTGTCTGTCTTGTGTTCCTGTGTCTGTCTTGTGTTCCTGTGTCTGTCTTGTATTCCTGTGTCTGTCTTGTGTCCCTTTGTCTGTCTTGTGTTCCTGTGTCTGTCTTGTGTTCCTGTGTCTGTCTTGTGTTCCTGTGTCTGTCTTGTGTTCCTGTGTCTGTCTTGTGTTCCTGTGTCTGTCTTGTGTCCTTTGTCTGTCTTGTGTTCCTGTGTCTGTCTTGTGTTCCTGTGTCTGTCTTGTGTTCCTTGTGTCTGTCTTGTGTTCCTGTGTCTGTCTTGTGTCCCTTTGTCTGTCTTGTGTTCCTGTGTCTGTCTTGTGTTCCTGTGTCTGTCTTGTGTCCTGTGTCTGTCTTGTGTTCCTGTGTCTGTCTTGTGTTCCTGTGTCTGTCTTGTGTTCCTGTGTCTGTCTTGTGTTCCTGTGTCTGTCTTGTGTCCCTTTGTCTGTCTTGTGTTCCTGTGTCTGTCTTGTGTTCCTGTGTCTGTCTTGTGTTCCTGTGTCTGTCTTGTGTTCCTGTTCTGTCTTGTGTTCCTGTGTCTGTCTTGTGTTCCTGTGTCTGTCTTGTGTTCCTGTGTCTGTCTTGTGTTCCTGTGTCTGTCTTGTGTTCCTGTGTTCTGTCTTGTGTCTGTGTCTGTCTTGTGTTCCTGTGTCTGTCTTGTGTTCCTGTGTCTGTCTTGTGTCCCTGTGTCTGTCTTGTGTTCCTGTGTCTGTCTTGTGTTCCTGTGTCTGTCTTGTGTCCCTGTGTCTGTCTTGTGTTCCTGTGTCTGTCTTGTGTTCCTGTGTCTGTCTTGTGTCCCTGTGTCTGTCTTGTGTTCCTGTGTCTGTCTTGTGTCCCTGTGTCTGTCTTGTGTTCCTGTGTCTGTCTTGTGTTCCTGTGTCTGTCTTGTGTCCCTGTGTCTGTCTTGTGTTCCTGTGTCTGTCTTGTGTCCCTGTGTCTGTCTTGTGTTCCTGTGTCTGTCTTGTGTCCCTGTGTCTGTCTTGTGTTCCTGTGTCTGTCTTGTGTTCCTGTGTCTGTCTTGTGTCCCTGTGTCTGTCTTGTGTCCTGTGTCTGTCTTGTGTCCCTGTGTCTGTCTTGTGTCCCTGTGTCTGTCTTGTGTCCCTGTGTCTGTCTTGTGTCCCTGTGTCTGTCTTGTGTCCCTGTGTTTGTCTTGTGTCCTCTGTGTCTGTCTTGTGTCCCTGTGTCTGTCTTGTGTCCCTGTGTCTGTCTTGTGTTCCTGTGTCTGTCTTGTGTCCCTGTGTCTGTCTTGTGTTCCTGTGTCTGTCTTGTGTTCCTGTGTCTGTCTTGTGTCCCTGTGTCTGTCTTGTGTCCCTGTGTTTGTCTTGTGTCCCCTGTGTCTGTCTTGTGTCCCTGTGTCTGTCTTGTGTCCCTGTGTCTGTCTTGTGTCCCTGTGTCTGTCTTGTGTCCCTGTGTCTGTCTTGTGTCCCTGTGTCTGCCTTGTGTCCCTGTGTCTGTCTTGTGTCCCTGTGTCTGTCTTGTGTCCCTGTGTCTGCCTTGTGTCCCTGTGTCTGCCTTGTGTCCCTGTGTCTGTCTTGTGTCCCTGTGTCTGCCTTGTGTCCCTGTGTCTGCCTTGTGTCCCTGTGTCTGTCTTGTGTCCCTGTGTCTGTCTTGTGTCCCTGTGTCTGTCTTGTGTCCCTGTGTCTGTCTTGTGTCCCTGTGTCTGCCTTGTGTCCCTGTGTCTGTCTTGTGTCCCTGTGTCTGTCTTGTGTCCCTGTGTCTGTCTTGTGTCCCTGTGTCTGTCTTGTGTCCCTGTGTCTGTCTTGTGTCCCTGTTTCTGTCTTGTGTCCCTGTGTCTGCCTTGTGTCCCTGTGTCTGCCTTGTGTCCCTGTGTCTGTCTTGTGTCACTGTGTCTGCCTTGTGTCCCTGTGTCTGTCTTGTGTCCCTGTGTCTGTCTTGTGTCCCTGTGTCTGTCTTGTGTCCCTGTGTCTGTCTTGTGTCCCTGTGTCTGTCTTGTGTCCCTGTGTCTGTCTTGTGTCCCTGTGTCTGTCTTGTGTCCCTGTGTCTGTCTTGTGTTCCCTGTGTCTGTCTTGTGTCCCTGTTTCTGTCTTGTGTCCCTGTGTCTGCCTTGTGTCCCTGTGTCTGCCTTGTGTCCCTGTGTCTGTCTTGTGTCATTGTGTCTGCCTTGTGTCCCTGTGTCTGTCTTGTGTCCCTGTGTCTGTCTTGTGTCCCTGTGTCTGTCTTGTGTCCCTGTGTCTGTCTTGTGTCCCTGTGTCTGTCTTGTGTCCCTGTGTCTGTCTTGTGTCCCTGTGTCTGTCTTGTGTCCCTGTGTCTGTCTTGTGTCCCTGTGTCTGTCTTGTGTCCCTGTTTCTGTCTTGTGTCCCTGTGTCTGCCTTGTGTCCCTGTGTCTGCCTTGTGTCCCTGTGTCTGTCTTGTGTCACTGTGTCTGCCTTGTGTCCCTGTGTCTGTCTTGTGTCCCTGTGTCTGTCTTGTGTCCCTGTGTCTGTCTTGTGTCCCTGTGTCTGTCTTGTGTCCCTGTGTCTGTCTTGTGTCCCTGTGTCTGTCTTGTGTCCCTGTTTCTGTCTTGTGTCCCTGTGTCTGCCTTGTGTCCCTGTGTCTGCCTTGTGTCCCTGTGTCTGTCTTTGTCACTGTGTCTGCCTTGTGTCCCTGTGTCTGTCTTGTGTCCCTGTGTCTGTCTTGTGTCCCTGTTTCTGTCTTGTGTCCCTGTGTCTGCCTTGTGTCCCTGTGTCTGCCTTGTGTCCTGTGTCTGTCTTGTGTCACTGTGTCTGCCTTGTGTCCCTGTGTCTGTCTTGTGTCCCTGTGTCTGTCTTGTGTCCCTGTGTCTGTCTTGTGTCCCTGTGTCTGTCTTGTGTCCCTGTGTCTGTCTTGTGTTCCTGTGTCTTTCTTGTGTTCCTGTGTCTGTCTTGTGTTCCTGTGTCTGTCTTGTGTCCCTTTGTCTGTCTTGTGTCCCTGTGTCTGTCTTGTGTCCCTGTGTCTGTCTTGTGTCCTGTTTCTGTCTTGTGTCCCTGTGTCTGCCTTGTGTCCCTGTGTCTGTCTTGTGTTCCTGTGTCTGTCTTGTGTTTCCTTTGTCTGTCTTGTGTCCCTGTGTCTGTCTTGTGTTCCTGTGTCTGTCTTGTGTTCCTGTGTCTGTCTTGTGTTCCTGTGTCCTGTCTTGTGTCCCTTTGTCTGTCTTTTGTCCCTGTGTCTGTCTTGTGTCCCTGTGTCTGTCTTGTGTCCCTGTTTCTGTCTTGTGTCCCTGTGTCTGCCTTGTGTCCCCTGTGTCTGTCTTGTGTTCCTGTGTCTGTCTTGTGTTCCTTTGTCTGTCTTTGTGTTCCTTGTCTGTCTTGTGTCCCTGTGTCTGTCTTGTGTTCCTTTGTCTGTCTTGTGTTCCTGTGTCTGTCTTGTGTTCCTATGTCTGTCTTGTGTCCCTGTGTCTGTCTTGTGTCCCTTTGTCTGTCTTGTGTCCCTGTGTCTGTCTTGTGTCCCTGTGTCTGTCTTGTGTCCCTGTTTCTGTCTTGTGTCCCTGTGTCTGCCTTGTGTCCTGTGTCTGTCTTGTGTTCCTGTGTCTGTCTTGTGTTCCTTTGTCTGTCTTGTGTCCCTGTGTCTGTCTTGTGTCCCTGTGTCTGTCTTGTGTCCCTGTGTCTGTCTTGTGTCCCTGTGTCTGTCTTGTGTTCCTGTGTCTGTCTTGTGTCCCTGTGTCTGTCTTGTGTTCCTGTGTCTGTCTTTTGTGTCCCTGTGTCTGTCTTGTGTCCCTGTGTCTGTCTTGTGTCCCTGTGTCTGTCTTGTGTTCCTGTGTCTGTCTTGTGTCCCTGTGTCTGTCTTGTGTTCCTGTGTCTGTCTTGTGTTCCTGTGTCTGTCTTGTGTCCCTGTGTCTGTCTTGTGTCCCTGTGTCTGTCTTGTGTCCCTGTGTCTGTCTTGTGTTCCTGTGTCTGTCTTGTGTCCCTGTGTCTGTCTTGTGTCCCTGTGTCTGTCTTGTGTTCCTGTGTCTGTCTTGTGTCCCTGTGTCTGTCTTGTGTTCCTGTGTCTGTCTTGTGTCCCTGTGTCTGTCTTGTGTCCCTGTGTCTGTCTTGTGTTCCTGTGTCTGTCTTGTGTCCCTGTGTCTGTCTTGTGTTCCTGTGTCTGTCTTGTGTCCCTGTGTCTGTCTTGTGTCCCTGTGTCTGTCTTGTGTTCCTGTGT